AGGGGCTGTGAGAGGATTCACCAAAGACAGAGCTGGGAGCAGAACAGGCAGATTGATGGGAGTAAACTGATGAGGGGAGCAGCAGGAGGGTCAGGAGAGGTCTGCTGCACCATGTGGGTCATCACCCTGGCTGGGGATCCAACTGCTGCACTGGCTAGCTTCCCAGTGCTGCACATTACTGCATTGTGCTACCAGGGAGGGCCCAATACAGTGGACTGATCTTTCTTTAGCTTTGAAAGTTTACCTTCACCTTAGTTTTGCAAGTAAATTCTAAAATCTCAGTTCTTATTGGTAATGAATGCATGGAAACTAGGTTGGAAAAATGAACAGTCATGGGTTTTTCTGTCTGAGTTATTCATCTCTTCCTGGGTAATGTCAGCAGGAGGGATAGAAGGGGGAGACCAAAGCACAGCAGACTGGGCCAGTACCTGTGGGGAGCACTGCTTGTTGAGGCTGACCTTGGACATTGTGTGGTGTCGCACAAACCACAGCCGAGTCGCTTCTCTGTACAGTGGGTGTTATAGGATACTTAAAAAAAAAAAGTTTGTGAAGAGTATAGCTCTCTTCACAGTTTTGTTCATGGCCTTGTGTGACTTTTCAAGGAAAACGATCTATCAATTGTGAACAACACCTAGTCTAGATTGTGAAATATTCCATAAAGGAAGGGTCAGTATAGGCATCTGACTTCTGTGGATTTGATACCAGCAATCTCTTCTGTGTTAGAAACCATTGTGCTTGCAAAGATTAACAGGAAGGAGCAGTTTGGTTTGCTTGGAGTTTTGTGAGGCTTGGGACTGAAGGGTGTAGTCAGACAAAGCTATAGCTTGGACTTTGGCATTGGGAAGCCAGGGTGCTTTTAAGGTGGGATCAACATGTGATTAACTCATTTAAATAAATACCTGAGAAGAGTAAAATAAATATAGTTTTCCTCAGATGTGTATTGTCCTCTTCTTTCTGCTCGTTGCAGCTGTGGTAACCCGATGACATCAGCCTGTGTACCCTACACATTCATGGACCACAACATACAGGGAAATCATCAAATGTCACCCGAGAGCCCCTAGTCCTTTCTCCCTCACCAGTGAGCTCTCTGCTCGTGTCTCAGTGGAATCTCCTAATTGTGCACTGGTTTCCATCCCTCCAGTGCGCCACAACTTTCTCTTTCCCAAGTTAATTTTTTCTTCCTCTCCATCATCTCCAGATCATGCAAACAAGCTGTTTTTTTTAAATGTCTTAAAAATACTTTTACTCTGTACCCCAACTCCTTCCCTTTTATTTTCCTCTAAAATCTCTTAAAAGATTTTCCTGTCTCCAAGTTGCTCTTGTTTTCCCTCTTCCTCGTGAGCTCTTTCCCTACATAAGTGAAGTGAGCAATTGCTGCAGCACTCTGGGCTGATGGGGTTTTTGCTGAGGTCATGGATGATGGTCAGGTTGCTCAGTCCTGCACACAAACCTGACCTCTTGTCCTTGCAACATTTGCTCCATGGTCATTGTGTCTATTCTGACATCTCTTCACTTGGCTTTTTCATTTTGCCTTTCCTCTACTTCTTCCATCTGCTTCTATTCACACTTGGGTGCCTCTTCTGCCCCAACCTTTTGTGGCTTCCTCTGGGCCTAATTTTTACACAGGTCTCTCTTGAGCACCTCCTCCAGGTGCAAGGCTTTAAAATGCCCTCTGTGCCCAAATCTGCCTCCTTAGCTTAGATTTCTCTCCTGGACTCCCCCAGCCTGTCTCCACCTTGATGTGTTAGACATCATCAACTCAACATGGGTAACATTTGGAGTCGTCACAAGCCTGTGTCACATGCAGCTTCACCTTCTTGGTGTTGGCACCTTCAGCCCTTCTGGATGACACAGATGGAGTCATCTTTAGTCTCCTCCTCAAATGCTTCAGGAAACCTTGTTTGCTCATCTTTCTAAGCAGCTAGAGCTGGAGCTCTGGGTGTCTTGACTGACCACCCCTCCACATTCCTTCTCTCCTGAAGTGCTGCAGCTGTCTCCCCGTAGATATCCTCACTTCCTAGCAGCCACGTGCCCCTTCTCAAAGGTGTGCCCTGCCCTGTTACCCTTATGTACCTGTAGGGGTGCACTTTTCATGGGGAGAAAATGACTGGAGATTCACATTTGCTGCCTTTAAGCCTTCTCCTTAAACCGGGATGGATCATTTAAGGGATTTAAGGGATAACAAAGTTGATTCTAAAGAGAAGTCGTTCATGGAGGTTGTGCAGTTCAAATTTAAAAACATCTGTGCTGTTGGGGATCCTTGAGGGCACAGTGGGGTGGCCCTTGAGATCATGGGTGATCAAGGACTGTCAGAAGATTCTATCCCATAGAACATGTAATTAGTGGACATAGTGGTCTGTCTCCCTGCCTCAGTTCTTGTCCATTGTTTCATGTCTTTCCTCCCTTGTCTTAAATGCGAACTTCCCATACTATTTTTTTTAATGGATTTCCTCCTATTCCCTCCCACCTTTTCAGCCAACTAATGGTCTCTTCTATGCTTTTGTACTCTGAGTTTGTTCAGTCACCACCACTAGGTCTCTGTCCATGTTTCAGGCATAGAGCAGAGAATGAAAGGATGGGGCTCTAGCCTGGTTCAAGACAGTGGCCACTTAAATTTTAATTAAAACAAAGTGAAAAAAAAAAAACCTAAAATTTTTCAGTCATCTGGCTGCATTTCAAGGACCCACGTGACACACTGTTATAGAATACCTGTGTAATCACAGGCCATTGTAGCAGGTGGTACTGTGCAAGAGAGAAGAGGTGTGGACACTGTGTCCCCCGAACTCCCCCCGCCCCCCACACAGGTAACCAAAGTTGTGTTGAGAACTGGTATCCAGTGACACAGAGAGACAGGTGGGCTAGTTCAGCTAGTAGAAGAGGACTAGTCATCTGAGAAGGTAGCTGTCAGCATGGATCAGAATTAAAAAGAGAAATCTGAAAATCTGGGGTGGGGAGTTAGAGATCTAAGCAGAGGACACCATAGGAGAACCTAAAACAGGGGTACATCTGAAAGAACCCTAGTGGGACAGTGATATGAGAACCCTAACAGGCCAGCTCACTGGGGCTTTGTCTAGGTTAAGAGCTGGGGTTTATTTTTTGTCCTGAAGTATATGAGTGGGGAAGTGACATGGCCTGATTACATGTTTGCCATTTACATCATCTGCCCGATTATATTCTTTGCTTGCTCGGTGTTTTTCTTCCTTAATGTATATTGAGCTGGTCCTGAGAGCCTTGATAGATGAGCAGTAACTTGGTAGAATTAAATTAAGTGAAAAGAGGGCATTTGCTGAGGCTCAGAGTGTTAACACACTAGTTATATATAGTATTTGCCTTCCAATTGACTAAGGACTACTTACTTCTGGGTGAGACCTTATAAGGATTTGTCCCTCTGCCTTTGGTAGTGGATGAGGTGGGGTCCATGGGATCCCCTCCCAGCATATGTAGGCAGAAAATATGGAGAAAGCAGGTCCCTGGAGATGTGTTGCTACCTTGGGGAATCTCATATTGCTGTCCACTCTGGTGTGAGCATCCTTCAGTGACGGAGCACGGCACTTCCCCTGACTTGATGGACGAGGTGAATTTTAGCAACAGGGCAAGAAGACCAACTGTGTGAGCTTGAGTAGGAGGTATCAGAGGGTTCCAGCAGGGGCCTTTTCCTGCCTCAGGCTGGGACATGCCCCCACACTGCAGGGGGGCATGCAGGGGGTCACGGGTTGCCATCAATATTTCTGATTTCTCCTGGGCATGGTCCGGATTTTAAAGTTTTGGCTATTGAGAGCTGAATTTGTAAACACTAACATATAAGGCTCTCTGTGTGTCAAATATAGTCAGGCTTTGTTACGCCAGTTTGAAGCATGAGGATTTGTGAGCCTCTTCTGAATGCAGAGGCAGCTGGAACTGAAGGTTTGCATTTTGGGGTGTGTGTAGAGCCCTCACCACAACAGGCCCAGACTACCACCCCTGTTCCTATGACACTCGTCAAGGGCTACATGAGTCTAGAGACAGAATGGCAGGGCCCCCTACTGCCCTGGAGGAAGTGACTGAAGTTTTGGTGAAGGTAGTTAATGAAGCAGACTTCCACAGTTTAAGTCTAAATGATTAAGAGAAGAAGTCAAGGAACCGGCTTGGAGTCTAAGCTCAATTTACCCCTCCAGCTCGACTTCCATCTCCCTGAAGGGATTACTGACAGTCTTGACCCACATTCTGTGAGGACTTAACCTTGTGGACTCTTGGCACCAAGTCACCTTTGTAGTAAATTCCCCACATTTGGAGAGGATTCCTAATGTGCATTTTGGTTTCTGTTGCAAATGTCTCTCATGGTTTTTTAGCTTGTTATAACAATCTGGGAGAGAGACTGAATATTTTAGTGACATTGTACAAATGTGGACATCAAGGCTGAAGGTGTACATCGCTCCCAGAAACACCAGCTACGAAGGTGGCAGAGCTGGAACCTGAACCCATTCTCTGACATCACTGGAGAGCCAGGGTCTGAGTCACTGCTTCCTGTAGCAGATCACACAACAATGATTCACTCACAATCTTGCTGCATTTTTGCTAATGGCAAGCTTGGCCTTATGATGGAGATGGGAGAATGACCAATGTGGCCACTGAGCAGGAACTAGCTGACCCCATGAAAGGCCAGCAGCAGGTCATCATCTCAGAGGCCTAGAGTAACAGCCCCTGGAAGTGGGTTGGGGTGGCCCCTCTGAGCCTGCCCCTGTTTCCTGTCTGCTTGTTTCCAGCATCAGCACCAGGTCTTATCTGGACTCTGTGGAAGAGTGGGGATTGGTAGCTGGCGCAAGGATAGGCTTATGTCTGTGGCTGCAGCCACGGGAGTCAGCTGGGGCCTGAAGCCATGTGCATGGTCTCCTCCCCAGAGAACACGCTCATGTGACTCCCAGGCTAAAAAGAGAAGTAGCAATCTGAGATAGGAACGGGTCCTTATCTTCTGCTGGGGCACACTGACTGCCTTCTTTCATCTTGTTTAGGTCAGTACCATCATGCGTCTGCAGGTAGCTGTAGCAGGCCTTCTACTTCTGACAGGTGAGTGAGCAGGTAGGCTGGGATCAGAAGCTCTGGGGATAAAGGATTCAAACACATAATGTATATGTGTACATGTGTGTGTGGGGGGGAGGTGACCTGAGATCTGCTGGGTCCTGGCTGGAAGTTCAGGGCATTAGCAAAGAAAATGAAGCCTTACTCTGAAGAATTTGCTTCAACACTGAGTCACAAAATCCATGGCAGGTGAAGGAGACCTGGTGTCGCGCTGTGTCTCTTGCTCCAATTGTGTCTTGAATGAAAAGGGGTAGTGGATACAGTACAGGCAGCATCTCAGAGTTAGAAACAGTTGTCAGCAAAGGATGGGAGGGGGAAGAGGAACTGGGGGCCAAGCCAAAAGGCTTTGCTTGTTTCCGGTTATGCATTTTGATGGACTGATGTTTAGTCATGTACAAGTATTTTTTTTAAGATATGTTATAATTCAAAACATTTTATAAGATGGGTCAGGGGGAGGGAATGTAGGGATTGACATGTTCCAATATTTATAAAGAATAATCTTTGGACATGGGATTATGGAGGGGAATTGATTTTGATTACACTCTACAACTTGATTTTTATAACTAGCACAAATTATGTTGGTGATCTAAAAATGGTATTAGGTGAAATGAAATATAAGGAAGAAACCAAGCAGAGGGTCAGACAAAGACAGTTTGAAGCCAACCCTTGAAAGGTAACCATAGACGTGTGGCATCCAGAAAGGGGAGGGATGGGAAAGTGGGGTGGGCACAGTGGACCATGGGGGAGTTCTCTGGGTTCTTCGTGGTGGTGGTGGGTGTGCTATGGTGGCCACCTCTAAGGGGGTGGGGGGTCCTATATGTCCAAACTGCTAACAAGGGTATAAAACAATTGCACTTCAATTATAAAAATAAAAATTAGGAAGAGACATCATGATATAAAGCATTTTCGTGAAAAAATATTTTGCTTTAATTTGCAAAAGATCTCTGAACTTTTATGAGATGGGTCAAGGGAGTTGTAAGGTTTATGAGTTGTAAGGTTTCTTTATGCTGGCCCTTGTCAGCCACTCTTCAAATGCAGACATAAGATCTTTGTCAGACCTATAATTTGATGTCATAGCTCTCAGTTCATAGCTTGCTGTTGTTTTATTATTTCCTTGCTTATATTCCTATAGGTTTTCTATTTGAAACCTATTTGTTGATGATTTTTCATTGCTTTTTTCCTTTTTAATATGTATACTTAGAACTAAAATTTAGTCTATAAAGACTGTTTCCTGCATTTCATAAACTTTGAAATGCAGCATTTTAATTACATGTCCATTATAAATATTTATCATTTCTACTACTGATTTGATACATGAGTTGTTTAAAACTAAGTTTTCCAATTGCCAAAAGTAAGGCTTTTTTTTTTAGAAAAAGTTTATTTATATTTTATGTAATAAGCTATTTCATTCCCAGAACATCTCCCAAACTTATAGCCGCATTCAAGAATGAGTAGTTTGTTAGTTAAGAGAGATCTCAGACTTCTGTTCAGTGCTAACTTTTCCACATTTGACAACATAGTTTTTATGACCCTCACCCATAGGAGAGTAGTTTTTATTTGAAAACTTTTCTTTTGTGTTTGATTGCAGTAACACTGTTTACAAAAGTGTATAGGATGCAGGTATAGGCTTGCACCCCTTCATGCGCATGTTACCACCCCCACCAACAAGGTACCCACAGACCTCCACATCATCCATTGGGCCCCTCCCCACCCTGCTCCTCACTCCCCCTCTGTTTACCTCAGTTCTATAGTCAGATGTCAAGGCTTTGCTATTGTGCTGTTTTTGTCTGACCCTTTGTTTTTCCAGATCCCACATATAAGTGAAAATAAGTGAAACCATTGGTATTTGTCGTTCTCTTTCTGGCTTGTTTCATTTAGCATCATCCCTCTCCTGTTCTACCCATGTTGTCTCAAATGGCAAAAGTTCCTTTCTTTTCTTTTCTCTTTGGTAGCTAAGTCTTCCATTGTGTATACGTGCCATGCTTTCTTAATCTACTCCTCGGTCTTGGGCACTTTCGCTGTTTCAGCCGCTTGGCTATTGTAAATACTGCTGCCGTGAACACAGGTGTGATTGTGTTCCTTTAAGTTAGTGCTTTTATTGTCTTTGGGGAAATTCCTACAGAAGGAACTGCTGGATCATTTTCTCCAGGGAACAACTTCGGTCTTGTGGATGTTCTCCCTTTCTCTGGCTCACCTGGGTAGGTGGACCTTGCTCAGTGTGCACTGTCAAGGGTTAGGAGAAGGGATTGTTATTTGGATTTTTTTTTAACTGACCCTAAAGCTCTAAAGCCTCAGCTCCTCCTGGAAGTTTTTTTTGCTTTTATTTTTATTCCTTTTATTTTAAGTTGAACTTACTCCCTGGCCGTAAGTTTTTGTTTCTTCAATTTCTTCTAGTTATTTTTTTCTTCTGTGCAACCTCCTCTTCTGGTTTAGGGACAATCTGCTCTTTTCCACATCTCTATGTGGCAGGGGGAACTCATGTAAGGGTTAATCCAGTCATGAGCTCTGTAAGTTCTGCGACTCATCTTAGGGGCTTTGTTCACCTCAATGTGCTCAATGACCAGAGAATCTACATCTAGACCCTTAAGTTCGGCATTACTCTCTGCATTTTTAAGCATATGCAGTAAGAACTCAGCACTCTTTTTGGGCCAACGACTTTGTGTCCAACCCCACTGTTTGGCCTGGGCACACCTTCCAACACCCCTGTTGTAATGGCAGACTGGCACACACTGCTTCTGTAGAGTGACATCCTTTAGATACTTGGTGGCTTTCCGGATATGCATACCCTTGATGGCCTGGGCAGTTTCCCAAGTATTTCAACTATGTAAGGAAATAACGCCACCATATATTTAAAAGATGGAGGTCTTTTAAAATATAATTATTATTATTATTATTTATTTTCTTATACTGTCATTTATTTTGGACAGTATTTGATTTTTCCCCCTCAGGTGTGGTCCCATCACCATACAAAAAGTAAAAAAAAGAAAGAAAGAAAGAAAGAAAAGATGGAGAGCTCATCTTTTTTGTTTTTGTTTATTTTTCTGTTTTCTTTGTATTTGCAGATGCTGTTGTTTCTACTCCAATAGTGAGGGGGGTGGTGGGGCAGCCGGTCACCCTCTCCTGTACCTATTCCACCAAATCTGGGGTCACCACCATGTGCTGGGGCCGAGGGGCTTGTCCCTCCTCCAAATGCTCACAGGAGATCATCTCCACGGATGGGTACCATGCCACCTATTGGAAGGACATACGTTATAAGCTGAAAGGGAAAATCCAAGATGGGAATGTCTCTTTGACCATAGAGAATGCAGCCATGGCTGACAATGGTCTCTATTGCTGCCGAGTGGAGCATAGGGGCTGGTTTAATGACATGAAGCTCACCATGTCACTGGAGATCATACCAGGTAAGCTCTCTGTCTCCTCCCTTTTTCTTTTTCTAAGATTTATTTATTTATCCATACAGAACTGGGGTACAGGCCAGAGGTGCAGGGGCAGTGAGAGGATTCACCAGAGACAGAGTGGGGAGCAGAACAGGCAGATTGATGAAATATACTGTTGAGGGGAGCAGCAAGGGAGACAGGAGAGGTCTGCTGTGCCACAGGGGTAGTTCCCTGGCCAGGGATCGAACTTGTGGTGGGGCGGTTACGGCCAGGCCAGCACCATCGTGCTGTGCTTTAACTCATTGTGCCATCAGGAGAGTTCCATGCCTTCTCCCTTTTGACGCTTTTCCTAGGCTAACTCACAGAATTTTCTGTTTGGTAGTTATTTTCTCTTCTGCTGTTAGAAAAGGGAGGTTTCTACAATCTTATTATCCAGTACCTATTGGGAAACAGAACCACTTCTATTTGTGGAGCATGAAGTGTTAAGACCAACCTGCAGTCAAGACCAGAGGCAGTTGGCTCTTGGCTGTCAACCCAACATCTTCCCAAAACAGAGCTTCAAAGATGCTGCTGGGGCAGGGAAGAGCAGCCACTATCACCTAGTGAAATACCATGAATGTTTTTTTCAACTGAATTTTGAAAAGAATGTAAGAAAGAATATAGTTGAACTACAAAAAACTAAAAGGTATTACCATGTCAAACTGAATTTATTCAATTTCAAAAACTGCCCCACCCACCTCCACTGAGACAGTCTTGGAAGGATGTTAAAGTATCATTTGTTAACATTTTAAAGCAATTTTGGGGAAGAGAATTGCAAATGAGTAATGTGGGTAACAACCCATTGAGGTGCTGTGGCTTAGATGCAGCTCTGGGTTTGATGCTTGTGGGATCTATCAGGAAGTGGGTACTAAGAGTTCAGGGTCCTCCCCTCCCCCACTGAAAACACACAACACACATACACATTCTGGGTTTCCCTCACACATATTTCACATCACATCACAGGCATTGCTTTATTGATTTTTGAAAATTGAACTTACCTTATTGCAGCATGAAAACATGTGCATTCCTATAACTGCTCCCCAGCTGCTTTTAAGAACTTCACGAAACCCCCACATCTGGAAAGTTCACAGTTTCCCCTCTTGATGTGGGCATCCTTGAAGATTTCCTGGCCCCACCCGCTCTCCCTGAGACTCTGATGTGGGGTATGGGACCGAGTACCTGGACCTTCAATAAACCACATCTCTCCTTTCAAATTAAGAGGAACTTGTAGTTTCCCAACTTTTGGATTTGGCTTGTTTCCCTTCTGAAGAACAGTTAGACAAGGTTAATTCTGGTATAGAAAATAGCTGACTGTAGTGAAACTCTGTCTGGGCGGCAGTTTAGGGAAGCCTATAGAAGCCAGCATTACTGTGTACTCTAGACAGAAGAGAGGAGATTCATGATGACTGTTTTGGAGATGTGACATTATATTATTGGCCTGGCTGTATTGAAGAAAATGACAGAAACAAATTCACAGGAGAATTTCTAGTGCTTAGAAGCACTTTATTAGGCAGGTATTGACAAAGTCCCTGAATGGCCAGTGGGAAGAGGGTCCTTACCTCCACTCACCCATCCTTGGCTGCTGTTTCCTTATGGGCTTCTCTGTGTAGTCTCCAGCTTCTTCCAGGGGACATGTTGGCCAGCAGGGAAGACTCCCCCACTAACTGGTAGAACAGGCTTCCTCTCCAGAACTGTTTCCATAATGATTCCTGGAGATGACTGTGTCATGCCTGCTTTTGTCTCTCAACCCTTGATCAGATTTGAAACTAGAGGGGAGGGGATTGGATAGGATTTTTTTTAAAGCCTCTAACTACACATTACAACAAGCCAGCAAACTGTTGCCTGGGCTGTATTAGATTACACAAAATAGACTCACTAACTGCTGAGAAATAAAATTTCATTGGTATCTCTATTGTCTAAGGCTATTCCCAACTAGATTTGTGTGATTACAAGCGACCACAGGACCCCAAAGTCTGGAGCATTGACTCTTTGCCCTTTACAGAAACTTTGCTAACCTAATGCTCTCTATGACATAGAACAAAATTGGTTGGATTTTTTTTTTCTCTTAAAGGCAAAACCTGAGTAGATTAAAATTGGATTTAAATGAAATTGGAACTTGGTAAGAGTTTTCAAAGCAGTTGTCCCCAATCCTGGGAGCTGAGATCTCCTTTTATAGCTAGTAGAGCTGATATTTAAGAAACCTTTTGCAGGAAAAAAAAAAAAAAAGAGTGCCTTGTAAGAAAAAAGAAATTCTGGATTTGACTCTGCTTGTATATCAGATACAGTGTTTGACTTAATTATAATTTCACCTTTCTCTTTGGGGAGATCTGAGGACTTCAGTAAGTGGTGTGGGGTCTTTTACTACTTCTGACTCTAACATGAATTGAAGATATCACCTGTGGCCCCATCTAGCCAAATGCAGGAACCTTCTGTCCCTCCCCTTCACCAGTGGATGACTGCCCCCAATCTTATTTATTTGGTAAGGCTCTTGGACCTGAGAGCTAATGTCTTACTCTTAGTCATTCAACACTTGGGACAGGACAAAGACAGCTCCAGACAATAGACAGTTTCCCTTTCTCACAGATGTTTGTGAAGCTACAGAAATAGGGTATGCATGACTAGTTTTGCAAAGAGCTTCAATGCAAATCCCAACTATCATTTTCCACCTCTCAACCTCTTCAAATGTATGCATTTCAATACAGCTATTTGTGGGCCTGTCCATAGCCTTCAGAGTCATGGTGTCTGGTGACCTGGGAGAGGTACCCTGAATTCCTGGGACAGAAGTGCTTAGGCCTGCCTGGGAGAGTCTCCCTGGGGTGTTCTTGGGCTATTTTCTGCTGTCAGACTAACCCTTGCTTCATACTGATTTGTGACTCCAGCTGGGACCAACAGAGTTCCTACGTCACCTGGGGTCTCTACCTTTGCTCCTCCAACGCCAACACCCACGCAGAACCTCGAGCCAGGTAAACCATGGGGTCTCTGTGGCAGAGGTCTCCCAGAGAGATGATGTAGGCCCCTGAGGGCATTGTGTTAGGGCAGAGGGATGATCCAGGGTAGGGTTTCTTACTTGGATTCCCAACCTGGGCTTCACAGGTCTGTGAACCCCCTGTCCAAAATATCTTTACCTTTTACATTTCAGAGTAAGGATGCCATAGCTTTTTGTCAGGTTATCAAAGGGATTCATTATTTGCCCTCCCAGAAAAAACAAGGTCAGATTACTGCTCTTATACAGGTAATGAAGATGTGGTTTGGTTCTCTGGAGCCCAAGCTTATAAGGAAAAAAATAGGGGGTGCCAGAGAACAGGGGTTAGGTGAAGGAGATTTTGTGCTTACCAGGAGTTCTGACTAGGGGGTCACTAGTCCACTGTGAAGGGGGACCCTCCACTTGAAAATGAGATTTCAGTACCTGTTTTCCTGTGTGCCCAGGACCAGGCACAGGGCTTTACCAGTATTGTCATTTAATTCTTCCCACAGCTCTGTGCGTGGGGGCTGTGGTTCAGTTGTAAGTTGCCATTGCGGGAATCCAGGCCCTGGATCTAAGTCCATTGCTGCAGGTGATCTGCATAAAAAGTGGTCCAGTGGGGATTCACCCTCCATTAACATGGAGGTGGGGCCTGTGTTTTAACTGCTTTCATGCTTTCAAGCTTATGTTGGATGTTTGTCTTAATCTGCCATCTTTGCTGAAAATGCCTTTATATCAATACAATCACCCTGTCTTTTCAGAGTGATCAATGACTTACACAGTTTTGCTCTAACTTGCTTTCACTTATTTATGGAGCCTAGAAGTTGCAGAAGATGGAAAAGTAGACATCAGTTTGAAGGAATTCAGGGATTCATTACATACATGGTCATTTTTTCAATCCAGACCACATGGCTCATATGGCCAGTTACTGATAGATGAGTTCAGATTTAACCAAGAAAAAAAAAAGAATAATTGGATGGTTGTTTGTGTGGGGGACATACTAGCTTGTAATTCTGAGAACACATTTTGATTTAAACCTATTTCTAAGATGAGAAACAAAGGACTTTGGGGGAGTTTCTCAAAGTCTTCCAAACCCTTTGACCCTTTGAAGTGACTGGATTCAAAGGAATAACAGAAATGTCATGACCTCTTAACCAGAACAATTGCGTGGAACATATTGATTTCCCTTGACGCCCATTCAACCATGTGTATACTTAACCAGCAGGGACCTGAAGCATTGGGCTTTGAGCTGAATTTGGAGAGAGGGCTTTAGGTTAAAACTGGGGTTTTAGAGCAATAAAAGTGTAAGAAAATCGCTTTGTTCCAAGCTGATGAGCACACTGGAGAATCTATTGATGTTCTCATTGTTGATTTAGCTTCTTAATACTTACTTTGTGCCTGGGAAGGTGGATGGATTCACCAGATAAGGGCAGGAGGCTGGGCAAACAGGCATCGGTGATTGATTTAGTTTAGAGCAGTGATTCAGAAGAGTGTTGCTATATAGATGCATGTGACCTCCTGCAAGACAGTATTAATTGAGCCTTATCCTGATAATTTTCCTAAAGCTTTTGAGGTTAGAGTTGAAGGGAGTTCCAGTGCAGGGCATTTATCTTTGCACCTGATCCCTCTTTGTGGGACCTCTAATACATAGTAGTTGCCAAAAACACCCACAGGCTGTTGGGTGTAAGTTTGCAGGAGCAGAGGAGAAAAGAGAGATGCCGGCAAAAACTCAAACTTGTGAAAGAAGCTAAGCTTAACTGGTCATTGGTGCAGATCTAAGTTGTTGAGTAAAGGCCCTGGTCATGTGCTTTGTTGAGTTTTTTTTTTTTTTTAAAGATTTATTTATTTATTTATTTATGCACACAGAACTGGGGTACAGGCCAGAGGTGCAGGGGTGGTGAGAGGATTCACCAGAGACAGAGTGGGGAGCAGAACAGGCCAACTAATGAAGTACACTGCAGAGAGGAGCAGTGGGGGCGGATCAGGAGAGGTCTGCTGTGCCATGTGGGTCACCTCCCTGGCCGGGGATCAAACTCAGGCCATAGTGGTGATAGCTTGATCACACTAAGACTTTAAACTCCCACCAGGGAGGCCTGTGCTGTCCTGTTCTTATTTCTGTAAGAGTCCCCTCTTGGTTGGGTATTCAGTCTTAGAGAAAAGCAGGGAAGCAGTTATGAAATGGGAAAATGTGATGTTGAAAGGTGAAGACCATGGCAGAGAAGGGGAGTCTGAAAGAGCTATGAGAAGCTGGGAAGTTTGGGAGTGCTTCTCTCCCAGCACCTCCAACTTGCTCTCAACTTCAGCCACGCTCTCAGAGGAAGGGAGAAAGATCAAGTGATGCAGCTAGTGATATCCTTGCCAGGGAGGGGAAGTTATAATCCCTGAGAACAATTAAAGGAGTGATTTCAAGAAAGGAAAAGGAAACATCATCCTGCTTTTTGGTGAGAACTGGAAGGTCTCTAGTCAGAAGGAGCTGGGGGATTAAGGGCCAATATATTGATAAACTATCTGGAGCATGATCTTTATGATTTATTCATGATCATAAACTACCTATAAGATGATCCAGGGCCTCCTTACGGTAAATTTATAATAGGGGCTTTAGGGGCAGGAAGTGGGATCAAAGAGGATGCTCTCAGGGGATGACTGGGTGGAGGCAGGATGGCAAGTTGATGGTGATTTGTCACTGATGAAAAATTCTTGTCCTCCTCCACACATGAACACAGTTCTTCTGTTCTTTTCATTCCTGCAGCTAGCTCACTTTCTCCAGTTCCAGCAGGAACCCAGCCAACCACACCACCAGAAACCAGTGCCTCAATGTCCTCCAGCTTCCCAGCATGCTCTTCCCAGACAGGTAAGTTCGCCTCCTTTCCTCAACACCTGGGAGCATTCCACTTTTGATAACCTTTGACATCTTGTTGAAAGCCCTTACTCTAGAATAAGACAGTTCTTATTCTGAGTGTCCATCCCGGAGTCTAGTCAGCTGTGTGATTGGAATGAGTGACTTACCCTCTCTGAATTTGTTTCACCATTTCTAAGATGGCTGGTGTACCACCAATCTTGTGTAGCATGCCTGTGAGGATGAAATGAGACAGAGTTAAGACCTAGCTAAAAGGGAGTAATCGATAGATATAATTGTAGCTCCAATTCTTCAAGTATCTGGAATTCATACAGGTACCTGGAACTGGTAGCTCATGTGATGTCTGCACCATAGCCGCATTTCCCTAAATCAAATAAACTAGTTCTGAGGGCAAAGTTCGTACTGGACTTTCTCCCTCTGTTTAGGACCTTCAGATAGTTATATCCAGCCCTCAGGTGTCCAGGCCAAAGTGGTCACCTGTATTTATTCTTCAGCTAAGCCTCATCCCCAGAACACAGTCAGGAAGCCCCTCTGCCTGTGAGGCTGGTGCACACAAACTGAGGCTGGCTGAGGCCATCCAGGCCAGCACCCAGGAGGTGTGTCCCACTGAGGCCCAGCTCTCCCCTTTCCGGATTCCACCGGCCTTCCAGTGTTTCCATTCTGGGCAGGGCCCATATAATCTCTACTCTTTTGAAATATAAGATTTACTAGTCTTTCTTCTGGTGGAGAAAGGCAATACCAAATCCTGTGATCTTTTCCAGAGAACCCTTCCCATAGCCCTGAGCTTGGGGAATACTAGGTTAAACCCCTTTGTAATGCAGAACTCTTTTTTTTTTTTTTTGAGTCCCTGTGCCTCTGCTGAATCCAGACAAGGTCAGTCGCCTGCTGTTTCTGGTCTGACTCACTGTCCTCAGGGCTGCCTAGTCTGTCGGGGGTCCCCTGCATGTCCTCCCTTTGGCCAAGCATTCCTGGAAGCTGGTTAATTTAAAGTGGCCCTGCCGAGAGATTCACAGAGGGCTGCGATGAGATCATGGTGACATTTGGTTTTGAACATGGAATCTTTTTTGTGGACTGTTTCTGGGCACAAAAACAAGTCAAAATAGATAAAAACACAAGGGAACAGCAGTCAGAGCAGCTGCACCCCACACCCTGAGGGAGTGAGGAGCAAGGCAGTAGGCGTGGGGGACTTATTCTCTGAAATATCATGTCACTGAAACCTGGTCAAGGTAGAGCTTTCCAGAGTGGAACTGACACCGGAGCATCTGTGTCCCTGGTTCCAGTGACTGCTTCCTTCTTGGCACAGAGTGGAAGGCACGGTAGCCAAATCCCCGTTGTTCCTGAGACAGCCTCCAGGGAGCAGTTTCCTCGTGGAAGCCAACAATGTGGGGCTGAAAGGGACAGAGCTGTCACATGGAACCCACTCACGAACACATGCAGGGGCCAGGGCACAGTCACGTGACACCATACATTTAATTCTTTCAGTACATAGATCCAATCCAGTTCTCACTTTTTGCCATTGCCACATTGGGAGAACAGCATGGTTCTGCTTTGGAGACTGACAGCCTCCAGTTCACCTTCTACTCACTTGCTGTATGCCTATGGGGAAATTGTGACTTTCCCCACCAAAAGTTGGTGAGGATTGAAGAAAAAGAGGTTTTCAGTGTGCCCTGTACTTCCAAGGGGGTGTCCTCCTTCGGGCTTCTTCCCATATCATGTCATAATAATTCAAAATAGTGTTTTCCTCGCATCATCAGTCCTGCAGGTGTATCATGGACTTTACAAAGTTTATGAGATGGATGCTGCTAATTGTTTGGAATGCAAGGTTACCCCACCTAGAAATAAACACATATGTGTGCATGTATTTTTACATATACACTTATATATGCATGTATGCACATACACATTCCCTCCAATCAAGGTCATGCAGGTAAGGGGCATTGCCAGGATTGAACTCAAATTTTAGCTGACTCAAGTTTTAGCAGTTCTAGATCTGAAAGACTTATTGATGGTCATAGAATGGGCCACACACAATCTCAACTGTAGATATGGCCTGAACTTAGGTTAATATTACCTTGGACTCAGAAGCAGTCTCAGACTGAGGAAAAGGCAAACAGAGTAAACATAAAGACTTGGGAGGGGTGATAGGCCGTCCACATTCATCACAATGAGGTCCCGCAGCTTTGGTGGGGACGTGGGAGAGGCAGAGTATTCAGAGTATTCATTTCGTGGGACTGTAGCGTGTGGGGTCCTGAGCAGAGGCTCTTGTGCTGAAATTGGAACTTTGTTTTCCTATTCAGTTGTTTCCTCATTTGTGAGAATGGTCTGGTGGAAATTGCTGTGAGCTGTCAAAAGCTCACTAGAGGAGAGCTACTCTGTAAAAAGAGATTTCTGTATTTGACCTGGAGTTGCTAAGAAGTTCAGCTCAAATGTTATACATAGGGTTTTCAAAAACACTTTGAAGATGGGAACTTTCAAGACAGAAGGGTGTCACATCCTTCTGTATGGGATTTAGACGGTGCAATGCCTGTTGGTTTAGAGTTGGATACCACAGGTACTTTCTAGAATTCCTCTTCTAGCCTCACAGCATAGCAAGTAGGAGTTTAGGAGCCAGTAGTTTCTATTTTACGCACGTTCTAATTGTAACACCAATGAAATGTCCATTTTGTAAAGGGGGTTATGGTATCCAGGCGTGCATGGCCCCTAGGCATTCATGGACACACCCCCAGCTGGCATGATTCCTTACCTTGAGTGACACTTTTAGTGGTTTCCACTCAGGGCTCTGTGACTTCTCTGACACTGTGTATGCATACACATACACAGATGCACACTGTGTATGCATACACATACACACATGAGAAATACTTAAGGAGTATAACAAGCGGGTAAATGAATCACTGCTGGCCTCCTGATTGGGCTCTTGTCTTGCTTGTAGCATTTGGTCATATTATTATTCAACTTTTCATTCATCGCCAGAAGGCAATATGAATATATTTAGTGTCTGCAATAAAAATTCAATATTTTTTATAATTCTAATTAATTTTCCTTCTTGTTGAGCAGATGGGAATGGCACTGTGACACAGTCTTCTAATGGCCCTTGGCATACCAATCAAACTGTAAGCATATTCCTTCCTATTTTATTAGCCAGATTCTCTTATATGTCTCCTTGGATGCAAGTTACATTTAGAGATTACTTTTGCAAGACCAACCCACAGATTGATTCTAGTCTCAAAAAACACAAACAAAAGAAAGAAAAGAATTGGACTTTTAAGTAGGGAGGCTTTAGTAGATGAACCAATTTCTTTCTTTCTTTATTGAGGTAACAATGTGCATTTTCTCAAGAGATATAGTATCACACCTTTCAGATGCATGTTACCATACCATGCCCAACACCCAGACACCCATAGTGCTCCACTATGGTCCACTGTGCTTCCACTCCACTTTGCTCTCTACCCCTTCTCCCCTCTGGTAGTCTCATTTCTGCAGTCATATTTCTGGGGTTTGTTACTGCTTTGGTTTTATCTGACTCTTTGTTTTACTTCCCTATATTTCACATATCAGCAAAACCATCTGTTATTTGTCTTTCTCCTTTGGATTTATTTCACTTAACATAGTTTCTAGTTCCTTCCATGTTGCTGCAAATGGCAAATATTTTTTATAGCTGAGTAGTATTCCATCACATATATATATGATGTATATGATGTATGTATATGTGTGTATGTGTATATGTATACTACAACTTTCTAATCTATTTCTCTGTCCTTGAACATGTAGGCTGCTTTCATAATTTGACAGTTGAATGAACATAGGAGTACATGTATCCTTTGAATAGTGTTTTTGCATTTTTTGGGGTAGATACCTAGGAGTGGAACTGCTAAATCACATGACAGATCTATTTTTAATATTTGAGAAACATTCATACTGTTTTCCATAGGGGCCGGACCAGTCTAAACTCCTATCAGTATACGAGGGTACCCTAAGTGGACCAGATTCTACTAATCAGGTGCTTAATTACTTATATTTTTCCTTACACACACACATACCCACCTGCGCTCCCTCCCCGCCCCCAACACAGACACACAAAAACACAGTGCTACTCCTGGCCAAATATTGCAAAAAAAAAGGAATGAACTAATTTTTTTTTAAAGATTTATTTATTTTATGCATACAGAACTGGGGTACAAGCCAGAGGCAGAGGCTCTGGGCGGTGAGAGGCTTCACCAGAGACAGAGTGGGGAGCAGAACAGGCAGATCGACGAAGTACACTGCTGAGGGGAGCAGTGGGCGGGTCAGGAGAGGTCTGCCACGCCATGTGGTCACCTCGGGGGCAGGCGGGAATCGAACTCATGGGGAAGTGGCTTTAGCTTCTCAGTGCAGTGCTTTAACCCGCTGTGCCACCAGGGAGGGCCGGAATGAACTAATTTAAGGAGAGCGAGTTAATATAGCCAGCAAGGAAGAATACAATTGTCTCGGGCCCTCCCCGGTGGCGCAGCGGGTTAAAGCACTGCACTGAGAAGCTAAAGCCACTTCCGCATGAGTTCGATTCCCACCTGCCCCGAGGTGACCACATGGCTTGGCAGACCTCTCCTGGCCCTCCCGCTGCTCCCCTCAGCAGTGTACTTCATCGATCTGCCTGTTCTGCTCCCCACTCTGTCTCTGGTGAATCCTCTCACCCTCCGCATCTCTGGCCTGTACCCCACCTCCGGAAGAAAAAAAAAAACTTTAAAAAAAAAAAAGAATACAATTGTCTCTAAGTAAATGACATGCTTTGAATTGATATAAAATGGAGGCTATGCAACAAAAGTATGTCAGTGAAAGTGTGCCTGTAGACCTCCTAGTGTCTTTTTAGAAGCCACAAGTCATCCTATATGGATAACTCCACTATCCACTCCCCATACAATGACTGATTAAGGAACCCAAGTCTTACACAACTTTGTGATTCTGTAAAATGTTCTCATATTTTCCCAGGGAGTTTATGAAAACCGAGGGGACTCTCAGCTCATGATGTTTCTCAGAGCTTCCTTTGATGATAAGTTGGGCCAATTTATAAATAGGAACTTTTCTTTTGGTTCCCTTAGGAAAAACTTTTTTTTTTTTTTTTTTTTTTTTGTTAATGGCATGTGGGTAACTCTTGGAAGCAAAAGCAGTTTGAGCTGTGAGATAATCCTTCTGATCACAGTGGTGAGATGTGAGGGTGTGCCATAGGAAGGAGCGTGCACTCAGGCCTGCCTGGGTGAACGAGCAGGGGTCAAGGCCTTCGTGATAGTGAGAGGGCCGTGCTGTAGATGTGGCGGTGGGCTCTTGGGTGGCGCAAGCACAGGTGGGTCTGATGGCTGTGGCTGGGGTTGCAGGTGCCTATTTTTTCTTTCTTTTTTTATTTTACAACAGTTTATTTTCACATCATTTTGTACATTTTTTCCCCCATCTCAATTGTAATCCCCGCCGGTTTCCCATCACAAAGTCACCCGTGTGCCATCACCATAATCCCGTGCATTTCCCTCCCCACAACCCCCGCTTTTGATCCCATTCCCCACTCCACCCCCTCAAAATGTCTCTGGTATATGGTTGTTCATTATTTTTGTTATTTTCTCGCCTGGTCCATTATACT